TATAATTAAAAAACAAATATTTTTCAAAGCAAATTATTGCTAGTATCTTTATATTGAGAGTTCACTTACAATTTAGGTTTCCTAGAATACGGTTGTAAATGGAAACGAAGGTATACTGTGTCCAATTGATAAACACTAGGATATTCCACCAGTGCCGCTTATGAGAGAGCATCAATGGTTTCATTTTCCCTCTATCTGTTCATTCCCCACCCAGCCTGATTCACACATGATTGTCACCCAGTTGGCACCTGAGTGTGCAAATCCTAGTCTAGAGTTGACAAAAAAATAGAAGGGAGTATGCGTTTAAACTATAGTGTAAGAAAGACATCTTTGTTCAGAATTCTTTAAAATGCACTTCTTCGAAAGGAATTCAAGCTTACTTTATATTAATTATAATCACTACTTATTGAGCTCTAAATTCCTGTCAATTTTTCCAACAAATATATGCAGTTAATGTTATTACTGATATTTTACAAATGAAGGGGTCTAGATATTTGATAATTAATAATCTGTCTGAGGATATTCAGTAACAATTACAGCTGGAATTCAACACCAGATCTCTCTGACTTCACAGCCTGACAAAGTCTTATGTAACTGCATTTTAGCTCCTGTGTTGAACTTATCCTCTTTCCCCTCTGCAGCCTCCTTGGATTGTTTGGATTCTGTAAAGGGGGCATCCTTACGCCATCTCTGCATGGGATCTTTCATTTCCATGTTCCAGCACTCATCACCATGAGTCACACTTGGTAGAAGGTCATTAAAAGATTTTAGAAGTAAATAATGACATTCTCTCCTGTCTACATTTCATTTAGTCAATACACACACACACACACACACACACACACACATACACACACACACACACATATTACTGAGTACTGAGGATCCTTATAAACCTTTAAAATGTTGTGAAAGATTTAAAAGTTTAGCTAGAGAGAGGAAAAATAAGACAGGTGTTTTTGAAATGTATATTCTGGGGGTTGTTTTGATGGCATTTTATATTTTCAAAGTTTTAAATAATGGAATAGCTTTGTTAAAAAATAAATATTAAACTAATTTTATTATTTTCTAATTTTAAAAGTTATATTTCAAAATAATAATAATTACAAAATACAAAGCAGTAAAGGAAGTTTTCATGTAATAAGCCCTAAATGAAAAACAAAACTGTTAGAATTTTATATTTATAACTGTCAGTATCATTGTCATACACATATGTCTGCTTATGTATGCATATTAAACATAAAATAAATTTCAGTTCATTCTTACAGACATTAATCTAAATTTATAAGACTGGATGTATGCCCAAATTATCAATCTTTGTGTATGTGTATATGAATGCATATGTAAATATATTTATGTTTAATATACATACACACATATATGCATACATACATATGCATATATGTGTGTATATATATAATTTTTAAAATACTGCCTAAAGCTGTCTTGAAATTAGAACATTTTTTAAGCATTGTATCTTGTCAATCAGTAAATATCATCATAAGCATTTGTAATGAATGCACAGTGTTATAAAATTTTGGATATATTGATTATTGTTTAGCATAATAAATAGTTCAGTATATGCTACATATGTTTTAATTACTGTGATATTTCCACTTATTTATACTCGCTCTGTGTGTATATTTAAAAATGTTAGACTGTTAAAAATTAGCGGCTTGGCCGGGCACAGTGGCTCACGCCTGAAATACCAGCACTTTGGGTGACCGAGGCGGGTAGATCACAAGGTCAGGAGTTCGAGACCAGCCTGGCCAACATGGTGAAACCCCGTCTCTACTAAAAGTACAAAAATTAGCCGGGCATGGTGGCACCTGCCTGTAGTCCCAGCTACTCAAGAGGGTGAGGCAAGAGAATCTCTTGAACCCCAGAGGCAGAGATTGCCAGCCTGGGGGACAAGAGCGAGAATTCCTCTCAAAAAAAAAAAAAAAAAAAATTAGCGACTCATGCCTATAATCCCGGCATTCTGGGAGGCCAAGGCGGGCGGATCACGAGGTCAGGAGATCGAGGCCATCCTGGCCAACATGGTGAAACTCCGTCTCTACTAAAAAAAAAAAAAAAAAAAAAAATAGCCAGGTGTGGTGGCGGGTGCCTATAGTATCAGCTACTCTGGAGGCCAAGGCAGGAGAATCGCTTGAACCCAGGAGACGGAGGCTGCAGTGAGCCAAGACTGCGCCATTGCACTACAGCCTGGGCAAGAGAGCGAGACTCTGACTCAAAAAATAAAATAAAATAAAATAAAATAAAATAAAATAAAATAAAATAAAATAAAGATATGAAATGTTCTAATTCTCCCTATTTTTACTTATTGTTTTATTTTAAAATGTTAGTATAAGTACTAGCAAATGGAACATTTTATATTGTTATACTCCACTTGCTACGGGAAAGATGGAAATCATCTTTAAAATGGATTTGGGTGTGTGTACAGATTTTAAATCTTAACAAGGAATTATTTTGTATCTACAACACCAGGAAAAATTCCTGAATACAATGGATGTACATTTCTTGCTGCCACAGTGAGGGTAACAGGTGGACGGAGTTTTCTGTGCTGGACATCACATCCCCCATTTTGATTCACCGTCTTCCATTCCTGTGCAGTCAGTAGTTTGGTTATTTAAGTTTATATTTCCATTGAAACATGAATAAACATGAATAGATTATTTTACCCTAATACACAATTAAAAAGCTACAAATTTCAGTAGAGATCAGCTTGCACAAGTTATTTTCTTGCCAAATAAATCTATTAATACTACACATAGCAGTATTTAAGCATTGACTCATTCTTTTTGAATATTTTTACATAATCCTAGAATGACATAAATTGTTCTGGTATAAAGTATTATGAAGTTATAGAGAGGCTGTATTTGAAAGGTTATGATGATATCATTTGACTAAGAGGAGCACAATTATCAGTATTTCTGCTTTAAAGAATATTACTTCTTCAATAATTGACTTAAGGCCTTGTTCTACTTTATTATTTTATTATTGTATTTGCCACATTACGAAAACAATCTACACATAATTTTTAAAGGCCATTTTAATATTTTCCAAACACAGTTTTTATGTATTAATTACTATTATTATTTACATTTTATTCTAGTTGTTGGTATATCTGTCTTATCATTCTCTCTAGTCATTAATATATGACTTCTTTATTGTATTCTAATTTTTGATACATATATTCTAATGTAAAATATATCATAATATATTCTATATTCTGAATTACTCCCAATTTCTTGCCTTATTTTTGAGCAGTGGTAGGAAATACACCATACATTTATTATTTTAATAGTAGTAATGTTATATAAGAAACCATTCAAAGGTTAGAGATGGTAACATTCATGTATCAGTTAATAAATTGATCTTTTCCAAGGTGAGTCAGGTATGTACTAAGGGAAACTAACAAAAACAAAAAATGGTAATGTAACAACTCCTCACAGATAAATAATTCTGATGGTCTAGTAAACACTCTAGTGGGAGAGAAAGTAGATCTCTGTGCAAGAAAACATCTCAATTCTGCAAACACTCCCAAGGGTGGGTTAGTAGGACAAGACTTCTGTGCTGGACTCAGAAGTTTGGCTCAACCACTACTTTCTACTCCGTGTTTGGCTCAACCACTGCTTTCTATCATGAAGTGTTTACTTTCATAGGTGATCTTCAAGTTTCCTAGAAAGATGGTTCAGACTTTTTTTCAGATTAAAAAACACTGCAGTTTACAAAGCTACATAGTATGTTATTGAAGACAAGGGCCCACATAGAATATTAGTTGAATTTTAGAATTCTTTATAACAATTCATATGAACTAGCAAAAAGTAGATATCCGCAAAGTACTCAGTATATATTTAATTGATTAATAAAATATGTTTAGAGATCAGCTTTTGCCATCTGTGTTTCCAGGCTATGCTGATTTTAGCCGAAGGCATATATGAGTAGGTTCAGAGATTCCTTAGCAGATTCCTTTGCAGAGCCAAAAGGTGTTTTGAAATGATCATAATAATGTAAGAAGTACTGGTTTCTGTACCTAAACTTGCTCAGATCACACATATGTTTTCACATTTTCTTTTATTTTTACATTTTAAGTGAGAAGTATCTTGCAATAAATCTGTTCTTGTAGATGTGACCTTTGTTCATGTTCCAACTTTGTGTACTTTTTCTGTTTAAATGACACATTATTTCACACTAGTCAGCAGGACAAAAGGGAACTAAAAAAGGACAAAATAAAATAAGTCAATGACATGATTTATAAGTGAATACAGTCTGCATTAATTCTGCTGTAAGTGTGTACCATACAGAGTTAGCATGTTTAAGTTTCTCTATAAAGCCATTGGAAGGTAATCGTTTTATTTAGCAAAAGCACTATTGAAGAAAGACTTCATGTAATGTCCTTTATCCAAACTTAACGTTCACTTTTATTTGGTTTTTAAAGTTTGTTTCCACGGCATATGACAGAGGAAATGCTTTCTGTGAAGACCAACTTTAAATTCTTATAAAATATCATTGATTAAATTTTCTTAAAGTAAATGTTAGACTTTATCTGGAGTCTTGACTGAAAATGTTCAACACACATATTTTATCCTTTAGCATTTGGATATTGCATTTCCCTGTTCTCTCGAGTGCTAAAACAAACTGGATATAATATAATTTCAAAGTGCAAAAAACAAACCACAGAAAGTTACTCTCTACATTCTTGATAGATAATCATTTAGCATTGTTTGAGCACAGGCTTTTGGTTTCTGAGTTAAAAAAAAAAATTTTAAAGGGAAATCTTTTCCAAAATGTTTACATATGAAATGTGAGATAATATTGATAGCCAATTATAAAAAGAAAAAATCTGTTTATATATGTTGTTTTATATGTGATTTCAGTATATCAAAATAGGATATTAATATATATTAGTTCGCTAAAAATAATCTGCATAAAATTCTGAGGACCTTGTGTTACCACATAATTTTCTTCTCACTTTTATTATTTATTTATCATTGCAGATTAAAAAAATCAACAGAAATTTTCCTGTAAACCAGCAGGTAAGGTCAAAGCATACTTGAAAAGCTAAATAATATATTTCTTCAATTTGATCTATTATAGAAGAGAATGTTATCTGATTTCTAAACAGAAATAATTGGTACAGTCATTTACTATCTTTAGTGAGAAATATACATTTCAGCTATCTCTTTCATATTATATAATATGTAGGTTCCTCTACTTATATTAAAAAGTACTTTAAAAATGTGTATCTAAGTCAAAAATTGTTGTTTATACAAAATAATGATATTTATTTGAATACATTGTTGAAGAACTTACAGTTTTATTTACATATGATAGTTTTAGTATATCTTAACTTTTGGGAGACATAGTTTTAATTTGTCTCAAAATTCAAACGGATTTTTCACAATTTGCTGACAGTATTTCAAATTAGTCTAAGTCAATGCATAGAACAAAAATAATTTTGATTATTCAGCTCTATAAACTTCTTACTCTTGATATCAACTTTGATTTGAAACCATTGATCAAATCTAAATATCTATGATAGCTATTTATAAATGATACATAAATTACATATTAATTTTAATGATAAAAATGTTTAAATGCTCTTCAACATATAAAATGTAAGATCTTTTTCTTATCTAAACCTCAGCTCCCTTATCTGTTACATTTGTATAATGGTGACTATCCTGTAAGTTTATTTTCAGGATTAAATAATAGCACATGTAAAGTTCTCAATCTATGCTATTATTATCATCAAAGTTTCCAAATGTTTACACTTATGCTTTGGAATACAGAATTTATGTTTTATAGAAATTGTATCATTAATGATGCTGCTAGCCCAGATCAGCTTCCAAAGCCATGTGTAACTAGAACACTGGAGAGAACGACTTTGGAGAGTTCATTGTGTCTACAATGCTCTGGTCTAGTTATTTTCAGCTCCAGAAGTCCCCTCCCTCCTACCTTAAGTCCCTCAGTCCTGAGTCAAGTTGATATTTTGGATAAATGCAGAGGTTGGAGAGGTGTACATGTCTCGCCACATGCTGCAGCAACCTGTAGTTGTTTCTAAGTCCCTTACTTACAGTGTGGAAACCAGAGTTGTCACCAGCAGACTCTGCTTACTTGCTCTGTGATGACACCTGGGATGCTCCCGTTGTTGCTCCCATGCTTTCCCAGGTGATTCTGATATGGGTGTCATCTTGAGAACTGCAGACAGGTATAGTTAAAGATAGGTGTCATCTTAGAGCTACAGTTTAATGCTTTTATAGGGTTCCAGTAGAGGGAAAATGTCATTAATAAGAAATTACTCAGATAGAAGAAAGCATCAGCTATGGGGGAAGATTATGTCCATCGATACACAAGGCTGTTTTCTAGTCAGATCTATAAAAATGGAAATCTACTGTTTTGTAAATTCTTCTCTAAAATAAAAAAAATGGTGATTTTTTTTTTTTTTAAATTTAAGAATGACTCTAGACCTGTGTCATCACCCTCTCATGCCTTTTCTAACCTCAACATGGGAGATAATAATATTGGTGTAATATATTACTACAGTGGTCATTCCCCTGATAGCCCCAAAGCTATTCTGTAATCATAATGACAATTACAGCTAACACTTCTCATGCAGTCAGCCTGCTGACTGGGACCACTTCTTGCCACTTTTGCTTATATCCAGGTTTAGAATAATATTAAGTAAAATAAATGAGAATTTGAATAAATCACACATAGAACAGGTAATAAAAAAATTTAATATTCTAACACTATACTATTCTGACACATACTCATATGTAAACATAGATGTTCATTATTATTCATCATTTTTATTTGCTAGCATGCTAATATTTTTCATTATATAATTACTTCAAATCTGAAATTATGTAATTCAAAACTATTTCAGATTTTATTTCAACTATATTGGCAGCTCACAGTTTTGAAAATCATAACAAATTCTTCCCGGCATTTAAGAAACCTGAAAATAATAGTTAATAGTTTTTTTTTTTTCATTACTACTTTCCATTTTACACATGAAGAATTTTAAGAAATAGGATTAATTTATAGTTAAATATTTATATTATTGCATAATTAGGAAAACTCACCTCACAGTATGACAACAATGCATTAAATGACTAGAATACATTTCCTATTTAGTAAAATCTGAGCCAGTTTAAGGAAATTGAAACTTAAAAGCACATATAATCCCATTTGTGATGATATATGCATTAAATAACTCCCTCGTGTTCCTGGTGTTCTAGGTATCAAAACAGAAATTAAAAGTCACCCAAGCTACAATGAACCAGAAGTTCTCTGCTCCCTGAGATCTGGTTTTCAATTTGTGCTACCCAGATGGTACCACTACCCTAACCAAATAAATTAAAATGAAAGCAAAACACAAGGAGAGAGCCACTGCAGTCCAACTGAGACAAGTGCTAAGATTAGTTCCACATGAACTCTGCCACACTCCAGAATGCATGATGCTTTCAAGAAAAACTCTCTGTCTGAAGAAGATGGTTGGGCCCAAAATTATAAACCATATGAGGAAATAAACCATTATAAAGAAATGCATAGAGACTAAATAACTCTCCAAAATATTTTTAATCATGATTTTTTCAAATAAAGAAATCAAAATTGTAAGACAAGAACAGGACATAGTGCTAAAATTTGTAGTTGTTAGAAGAACCAAACAGGAGTTCAAAACTGAGGAAAAAAAAAAAAAAAACCTACATTTAAAATTAATTAACCAACTAAATAATCTTAGTTATTGCCTCCACTTGAAATCACATTAGTGTATCTCCTACTTCACTTTTCGTGAGGAGTAAGTTTTCCATTTTTTCTATGCATCTGGGACACATTCATGTGTTTTTGTTTTATTAAGAGTCTAATTTGGTTCTTTTTTTTTTTTTTTTTCTTTGAGACTGTCACCCAGGCTGGAGTGCAGTGGCGCAATCTTGGCTCACTGCAACCTCCGCCTCCCTGGTTCAGGCGATTCTCCTGCCTCAGCCTCTTGAGCAACTGGGATTGCAGGCACGTACCACCACGCCCGGCTAATTTTTGTATTTTTAGTAGAAACAAGGTTTCACCCTGTTGGCCAGGCTGGTCTCAAACTCCCCACCTTAAGTGATCTGCCTGCCTTGGCCTCCCGAAGTGCTGAGATTACAGACGTGAGCCAAAACAGCCAGCCTGAATTGGTTCATTTTTACAGTGAACACACTGAAATTCAATTTGCCCTGATAACTTTCTGTTGAAAAGATGAAAGGTGGGACAGTGGTCTTGCTGATGAACAAAATAGGGATGACTGAATGGATGTCAAGTGATGTTGTGATAATTCTCTCAATATATTAGAGGTAAAGGCATACAGGCCTAGAGAACCAGGCCTACATCACACTACTGTATGTACCTGGACCATTAGGTCATAATTTATTACATGTGTCATTTTTACTCATTTTTAACTGAAGTTTCTTCATCCTGAAATAAATCTCATTCCTTCCACAAAAATAGCATTTTTCATTAACATTCTTCTATAATTGTTTACCTGGGAGTAACATTATAAAGTATTAATTCATCATTAAAATATTAATATAATGAGCTTTATATTATGCAGTATACAAAATAATATAATCAAATTGTTTACATTAGTTTAAATTAATAAAGTTATACTTATTTAAAACAACATGTTAGCTGTGGCAGCTATTCCTACAGATATATTTACATTTGACTAACCATAATAATTTGGACACATTATTATAGATGTGCACATACCACACATAGAATGCTGGCAGCGGGAATAGAAAGTGACTAAAGTCTCTAGTCGTGCTGGGGAGAATTAGGGAATTTCAGGACACTTTAAAAATCCATTTCTGGAGTGGCATCAGAAAAGAAAGAAGAGTAGGATAAATTTTGTCAGTTTTGCTTCTCTATAAAAGATTTGCTTCTCTATAAAAGCAACAGAAGAATGGCAAAAATAGAATCAACTTTTAACAAATACGGAAATTCACAAAGGCTCACTGAACCCAGGGAGCATTTATTCAAGAAAAACAGCTGAGTCTTGGTAAGAACAGCAAGCTTTGTGGCATTGTAACTGGACCTAGTTCCAACCCCTCCCTTTTCTCTGGCAATATGGTGGCTTACACAATAATGATGTATAACCTGAAATTTATAATCTAATAAGTTGTATATTTAATTCATTCAATTTTAGTGTTATTGAAGATATGTATTTGTGTGTATTTATTTATTTATTTATTTATTTTTTCGAGACGGAGTCTCGCTCTGTCGCCCAGGCTGGAGTGCAGTGGTCGGATCTTGGCTCACTGCAAGCTCCACCTCCCGGGTTTACGCCATTCTCCTGCCTCAGCCTCCCGAGTAGCTGGGACTACAGTTGCCCGCCACCACTCCCGGCTAGTATTTTTTGTATTTTTTAGTAGAGACGGGGTTTCACCGTGTTAGCCAGGATGGTCTCGATCTCCTGACCTTGTGATCCGCCCGTCTCAGCCTCCCAAAGTGCTGGGATTACAGGCTTGAGCCACCGCGCCCGGCCTATTTGTGTGTATTTAGACAAAATATTCTATTAATGAAACTGACAATTGGTCTTTATTTTTGGGGAATGTCAAAATCTATATTTTTCAATTTGAGGAAGAAATTATCCTAGTTCTTTATATATTCAATTTATAAATGTTAAAAACACATTATAGAGTCACACAATCTGGGGATAATGAGCCTACTGTTGTTCTGGTCCATTTCATAACACTTGGCGATAAAATATGCTGGCATTTTATGATCTAAAGGAGAATCCACCTCAAAAAATGTAATGTGTCTTTATAAATTAACTCTTGGAAAATCAGCTAGCTCATAAATCATTTGATAATACACATGATGGATATTTCACAGGAAAATGAGGTGTAAATGTTATTTTACAATTAAACTAAAAGAGCCCACACCTAATTATGTAAACAATTATGTATTACAGGTAAAATAAAATATACACTTTAGAAGATTTGGGAAAGGGTTATTCAAACAATAGAAAGTTGTATATGTGTGTGTGTTGAATTTA